TCTAACTGATGAGGGAACTCGTTATGCAGTCAGTAGATAGTCTGCACACACTTACCTAACCTTATGTGCTTTAAAAGCTGAAGCCTACAAGTACCACTCCTCACTGCATGTGATAGCCCGTAATATCATGCATGGCCTGCAGAGCTCCATTACTAGATTATCGGCAACTGGAAATAAGTGTGATGGAGTCTCAGGGGATTAAATTTAAGTACTTACTGCATCTAATCATAGACTAAAAATATGGCATCAAGAAGCCATGGATATAGCTTGCGAAATTAGGTCATGGCAGCTTGGTGATGATTTGGGGCAGTGGTGTAGCGAGGGGGGACAAGGGGTGTATGATGCCCCGGGCGCCGCTCGCAGAGGGTCAGCAAATGGTCTCCAAACAAGATTTTCATCATATCACTGTGTTTTCTCCAGAAAGGGGGCCGCCAAAAAGGTATTTTGCCCCAGGTGCCAGTTATGCTTGCAACTCCACTGATTTGGGGATTCTTCTCTTGATAATAATTGGACCTAGGATACTTGTACCCTGTGCATTCATTGCATTTAAGTATACAGAACTGCTTTCTACTACTTTCGGATGATCAGTTATATTTTCTCATGCTCTCGTACAGATGGTATTTCAAAGCATCTGTGTGGAAATGAAGTTTACAACAAGACAATTGCTTCTGTCAAAGATTGTGGTTGTCTGCTACCTAGTTCAAGAAGCATTCTGCTGATTTCTGCCTGCTAGTGACTGAGAAGCTCATGTTTAAATAACAGTAAACACCTTTAGAATACACCGGGAAAAGATGCACATTGTTGTGCTCTATCTGTCCTTAATGTATTTATTGGAATTTCTAGAGGAAATTAACCAAATTTTGTAACATTTATTGAATATATACCTGACTGTGTGACAGCCCTAGGTAAAAGGGCAGAAACTGATTACTAATTCTAACACTTCAGCTCAGTGCATTGATAAAAGAACAAAAGAGGAAAATGGCACATTACAAATTTTAAATTTACATGACTAAATGAAGTGGAAGTACCTCATGTTATGTCAACCAATTTCGTCCTCCTGACCGGTGAACATGATAACAAATTGTCAGTTCCATGATTCTCCAAGCTAGATAAGTTCCTCAATTTTTCAGTTGTTGTGCAAGGAATTGAAAAAAATAGATACAGTTTTATTTTCATGATTATTCATCCAAAATCTGCAATTCAAATTTTAAAGTTTCTCAAAATAAATTAGACAAAGAAAATTAATTGATTTTATAAATTTGAAATAGGATTTTATATATTTCCTATTGAGCAAAATGTCTAATTAATAAAAGGTTTGTTATGCTTTCCTAAGTTAGATAACAAAATATTCTATATACAGAAGGTCTCCACTTTATGAGCGAGTTAAAAAATGAACAGCGGACCATTCATGAAATGTTACTAAGTCACTATTCTTATCTCCTAATAATATTTCTGAGATAGGAGCTATAAATATTACCAAATAAGTAATGTATTTTAAATTCAATGCATTACAAATAAATCATAAAAGAAATAAACATGAAAAAAATTTTGAATTTTTCAGATTTTATTATATACCAAAGGGGCGTTTTTGTAACATTTTATGTGTTATTTATTTATTAAATATCACGTTCTTCACACTTAAACTACATAAAATTCAACTGAACAGCGGTATCACAAAATATTAAAAAACAGAAAAATATTAAAGTATCTTTAGAATTTCCAATAGGTAATCTCCCACGATGGAGATAAAAATGTTTTTTTCCGTACAGTGTTGCCCTTGCTCGCTTTGAAATTGTTGAGTTTCTTAATCAAAAATTCATTGAAGTCTTACAAAATATTAAATAGATAATAGAACAAATTCGAAATTCAAAATTTGGGCTTCCAGGTGACCATGTTTGGGTGTAGAATTACGTTATTCAGAATTTTATGGCTCTAGATACTGTTGTTTTTTCACAATGCAAGAAACATACGTAGATTGATACAGATTTTTCATTATTTTATTTCTTTAAATGTAATACAAGGTAATAATATTTGATGGCACCAATTTAAAAAAGTGATATGCCATATATAGTGAAACGACGCAAAATGCTGTTTCGAGACCAATAGCCCTTATGGGCTAATAAAGAATGTCTCTAAATCTATATCTTAAAGAATGTCTTTATATAGTACATACCTTGGATTGTAGTTTTTGAGGCATGTGTGGAAAGGATAGACTAGTAGATCTTTAGATAGATGGGGGTGAGTCAACATCTGACTCGCCTATTTTAAAGACTCATCAACAGTAAAGAGGACATTCGCAATGAAGAGGCTGCATGACAAGTGGAAAGAACTAGCATGTTAGATGCATTAGCAACACGGATTTCTGGTGTCGTTCATAAGCAAATATGTTTCTGAATTTGTCTGAATAGGTTTAATTTCCTTTCATTGTAAATAAGATAATAGTGCTGTATGGCATAGGTGATTTGACTTTAGCAAACCTCTCAGAATTTGGGTTTTGGTTTTTCAAAAATGTGAGGCATCAAATTTTTCTAGATTCCACACAAATTTCACTCTGAGAACAAGTTTGTTCACATTGCAAAAGTTCATAAAGTAAGGAACATCTGTATTCATATGCAAAATTAAATTATGTATTTGTTAGTTAACAGTTTAGGAGGCCCAACCAGAGCTGGATTGACCATTATGTAAAATAAACACATTTTTAGAGCATCAAGGAAAGGGTGCACTACAAAATATTTTCATTGCTGGTTTTATCATGGTGTTGAGCAGCTAAACCAAGACAGAAAGAAGAAATGGGGGGGAAGCAAATGTATGTGGAGTACCAAAGCAAATGTATGTGGTGTACCAAAACTTTTTAAGTGCTTAAGGGCTGTAAAAATTTAATCCATTCCTTGATATATTTTTAGTGATTGCATTATTATCTCATGAAACTTTGTTAAGTGAAAGAACGTATATAAGATATAGCCATATTTATAGAAATAAAGCTTTTGGTTACCTTCTTCAAACATTTTCACAGTGTCTAGTTAGGTGATACAAAGATTAAAATTCACTATAACTGTTTATTTTTAACCATTAAAGAAAGAAACAAGGTTTAGTAGTGGCTAACTGTGAGATGGCAGAGTAAGCAAAGAATTAGTTTGTGTTACTGTAAACAGAATATATTTTCTGAGACATATCATCACTAACAAGTAATTAAAACTGCATGTTAAGACTGTTACTGCTTTCATCCAGTCATAAAAATTTGTCATTTGGGTTATAGATTGCTTTGTTATTTTAAATTTTTGCTTTTTATTTTTTCCTTTAGTAATAAATGCCATCTTTATGAATTGAATGTTCTTGGGGGGGGAGAGTAAAGTAAATAATTATGCTGATCTAGCTATTCAGTGTTATTTAAATACAGTTTCTCATCAGCAGACCCAAAAGGTTATGTTGCTCAGAGGGTTAAAATGAGAATAACAGAAATAAAATCATTGGACAATGTGAATAGTTTCCAGTGCCATAGTCAGTTTAGAATTCTATAAATTTTATTCACATTCAGGAGAATTATTGATTAAAATACAGTATATTTTCTTATGTATCTAAATTTTAATAAAAAAAGTTCATTGTAATTAATTAAGTTAGTATGCAGTCTATTTAATGAATAATCATAAAAAATGATATGATTTATGAAATCAGATATCCCTGCAAGAAAATAATGCAACATTTTTTAATTCTTAGTTCATACTCAGTAAAACCTATTGGTATTGGTTTTTAAGAAAGAATCTTAAGAAGTGAACGATTAACGAGTAATGAGTCGTCTTATATAGTAAAAGGATTTGTATTTCCTATCAGTATGTTAATTAAATGATAGTGAAAAGAATTGGTGTCACTATTAAGTTTGTTCTTTTTGTATCATTTAAAAAAAATTAATTTTTTGTCACTGTATTTCAAATGAAAGTATTTGAGGTCAGTTTTACCACTTTTTCTATGCTTCTATGTGAAGGAGAAAATGATAATAATAATAATTATAATAATTGAAAGATAACTAAAAAAATTATTAAAGTTGACTCAAGTTTATTTATTATTTTAGATGTAAATAAGTTTTCTGAATTTATTTGGTTTTAGGATAAAATTAATTGAAGAATTAGAATCCTATGTTATATATGAATTAATTTAGATTATGTTATTCACTGTCTCTTACCCCAAAGATATATTCAGAGCACAGCTTCATTATGTATACTCCAAATAAATATTCATTTGAAATGTAAAATTGAAAGCATTTGGATGTATTAATATTTATCATAATTATAGTATATACTAAAAGAAAGTGATACTGAAATCCAAAATTTGTTTTAATGGATCAGTAATAATATGCATACATTTAATTAATTACAATGTAAAAAATCATTTTAATGGTGTTAAAATGAAATTAATTGTTATCCAAATATTTGCCATTGTTCTGTAAGATATGTATCCTTTATCTAACAAATATGATATGCTTTTGAAGTTATATGATCTTTTTTTTAACTACTATTTGCAATTTTTTCATGCTTTTTCGTTCAGAAAAACAAATGATCTCCTAAATTTTAGGTTTTCATATAAATAAATTCCCCTAAAAAAAGTAATTTTATTTCTGTAATTTCTAATATAATTTTTATAAAACTTGGATTCATTTTTAAGAAGTATAATGTAAAAATAAACAACAGTTGATGACAAATATTAAAAATTCCTTGGTGCAAGATCTAAGGAACTGAGCTATAGAGTTTTATATAAAAAGGAACATAACTTTACAGTTTGGTCAAACTAATACCCTTGTAATTTATTTCTCTAGCATTTTGTTTTGATAAATCTACAAGAGAATACATTTAGTATAGATAGTATAATTAATATTTATTTTTAATATAATTTGTCTGTATTTTTATGTGGCAAATATGCTGTGAGAAATCTCATCTACTCTCATGTTGTATTCTGTTTCTAAAATATTATAATGATTGTAAAATTTTGTTTAAATCTTTTCATTTCAGCTCGAGAGGCCATGTTAAAAATTTCAAAGCAAATTGCTGGAGGTCGTAGAAAAGCTTGTTAAATTTTTCATTGTTGTAAAATAAATGTACTTACTTTTTTGTCTGCATTATTTTATTTCACAGCTAAGTTATCAAATGAGTTCTTTTTTTATTAAAAAACCTATATATGCAACAGAAGTGTTTTTAGCTTTATTAAACTGCATACGTGATAGATGTGTTGCCTTACCCTTTCTTCTTGAAATAAGAAACTTTGGGCATTTATTGGGGTGAAATTACGTAGCATTATCAAACTTGATTGGTATTTATATTTCATGTTTAATCAAATTTAGTTCTTTATATTTATCTAATGAAAAAAATGCACTTCAGGTTGAAATATGATGTATCTTTCTGCTGCCTGAATGAGATTTGCTTTCTTCTCCTTTTTTGTTTAAATGCTCTAAGGTATAATATCGTTACACTAAGCAAAAGTTTTATTTAAGTCTGTGAATTATAAACTTCATTTATTGGCATTCAGAATCAGAAATTAAGTAATGGTAGCAATTTAGCAATATTTTGCTTTGAAAACTAACTTTAGAAACATGTAAAAATATGCGTGTTAAAAGTTTTTAAATACTTACATTAAATTCATCTAAAATTAATGCAAATATTAGTAAATTGTGACCCGTACATCATTTTTCAAGATATTATTCATCTATGTAATAATGAATGACAAGAAGAGTCCAAATATTACAGTACAAAACGATTGCATTGTAAACTGTAATGTGCTGCCCTCATTGCAACCGTCTTCAGTACATTCACAAGTTGTACCTTTCAGATCGATATTGGAAGAGTAAAAGCAAGAAAATCTGGGATGCTTTTCATATCCACAAGTACGAAATGTCCTCTGAGTGTTCATTCCAACTGAAAATATAATAATTATTTTTCAATGCATAAAGATTGCATAATTTTCCAGTATCGAATTAAATATTATTCAAGATTAATGTATAAAGAGTAATCAAATAAAATATTGCTGATCTAAAAATATGGTTATATTTTAAATATCTGTTGCTGTAAAATTTATATAATGCCAGGAAAACTAAAATGAAGGATGTTTGAAAATGTAAGTATGATTAATTATTTTAATTAAATATCTAACCTGGTATTTTACAATATAATTGCCTTAATATCTGATAAATTTTAACATGTTTTGTAATTACTTCTGTTAAATTATATGCTTTTTGACAGTCATATTGAATACTTTCTTTTGATTCAAACAAAAAGAAAAATTCATGGGGGTATCAATAAACTTCCATTTGATAGGTTATGGTAATGTACAGGGTGTTTTTTACTTCCTTGTACGAAGTAAAGGAAGTATTGTAATTGCGAAAAATTTCTTGTATCATATTTCAACGAAAATATCAATTTTCACCACTGTCGAATACAATTTAACAGTGTTTTTGCTTGGCACTTCCACGTACGGACAGAATAAAAGACTCTTTTTCCCGACACAGATTTTAAAATGGATTCAGAGATTTTTTTCATTATGTCTGTATATACACATGTATGTATCTTGCATAACTCAAAAAAGAGTTGCCTCAGAATGTTGAAGTTTTGTTTATGGTACTGCTATAACATGTAGTTGTGCACCATTTTTTGGTTGCAATTGGAATGCAGCGCGAGACAAATTTTAAGCTATGCTGGAAAAAGTAAGAATATAGGGGCACATGTATTTAACATTGAGTAAATGGTTATCTCGGTAATTTATATTGAAATTGAGTAAATGTAATTGACTTTCTGGAAATCTCAAGAAACAAAATGTACTCGAAATTTCTCGTAATGGTTGAAAACTATAAAAGGCTGGAAAGAGAGCGTCTGAGTTCCCCAGTCTAACGTCACCACCTGGGCTCACAGTGGAACACCACTTCAAGACAGCCGGAACACGTCATGCATTATTTGTATGACAATTGCGGCATAACAATGGTAGTTGGAGTTGTCTGAGTTCAGTGACCCTTCTGATCACGAATACTGCACCATCTAGACTTATTTAGCTATTTTGTATATTTTTGTACATAGTTATTTAATTTTATTATTTTACTATACTTTTTAATGTGTAATGCATCGGCACTTACATTCATACTGTTTTATGCAAAAGTGTCAGTCCCTCATGTGACCAAGGACTTTGACCTTTTTCTAATTATGACACAGCAGTATTACTGATTCACTATTGAAAGTTTTAGAATTATTATTGATGAACATTTCCTGCAACTTAATTATGAATTATAATCAGTGTGTAAGACATAATTTTCTATAGTGGCGGAAGCGAATGGAGGGGATTCCCAAGCTGAGACCTGTCATTTTGCTGCTTTTTAAAAAGCAGATGCAGCGGATATCCTTCAGACTCTTCCAGAAAACCAGTGGCTAGACTTCAAAGCTCTATCCAGCGCGTTGGAGCTGCACTTTGGGGAGAAATGTTTGAAAGATTACAACAGGCTTCAATTAAAATCCCGTTAACAGAAGCCCACGGAAACTCTCCAGGAGCTCGCCATGGATGTTGAAAGGCTGTCCCATCTCGCATTTTCGGAGTGCCTGACAAAAACAAGGGAAATCCTGTCTCTGCAATGCTTCATCGATGGCGTTCGGGATCCTCAAATACTGAAGGCTCTGTGAATGGGGGATGTCAAGGACTTAAAAAGCGCTCTGCTGTACACTGTGAAATTCGAGGCAACCCAGCAAGCAACTTGTACACCGACACACAATCAGATCTGTGCAAGTCCAAAAGCCAGCAGATCAAATGGCTGCTCGTCTAGACGATTTAATACAGTGACAAGAAACCGACCCTAAAGTGTTGGAAATGTGGTATTGAAGGTCATGTACAAAGGAACTGCAGAACACCTCAAGGCACGAAAAATGAGACAGACCATTTAAACAGATAAGTCAATGCGTTGAGACGAAATAAAGGTGACAAAAAATCATCCCTGAAGTGCTGAAAATGCGGTGCTGAGGGCCACGTATGAAGGAATTGCAGAACACCCCAGGGCACAGAAAATAAGACTATTCTCCAGCAACAACGCAGAAAACAAATTAATGGCCATATCATGAAGTGAAGTTTGAAGGATAATTAGAAACCCCATTTTAAAGTGCTTCAGATGTATGTAGTGAGTGGTTGCAATAATGGACTCTTCATCATGGGACATATCAATGGAGTTGATTGCAATATAGTCATTGTACAGGGGCGAATCTTACCATAATTTGGAAAGATTTAGCTCAACAGTTTTTGGACGCCATCCTGTGTTACCATGCAGCTGGTAATCAAATCGAAATAGATGGGAAGTTAAACGTAAACATCACGTTTGGAAGTGGCGCCTACTATGACATGGCATATGTGTGCAGATATTACTGATCCTTGTATACTCGTATTGGACTTTATAAGGAAATATAATTTTTCCTTGGACTTTAACGAACTACATTCAGGCCCTGAGACATAACTATCCATCGTCAGAAGGTATCCTCACCTGGAAACGCCAATGCTTTGTCTGGAACACTCTGCTCGGAAAGCTGCCGATATCGTTCCAGGATCGAAGAGAAACCAGAGCTGCTGAATCCAGTCGCACGATAAGTTACCATGTCAACATAGACTGATCGAGACCAATGGAGTTACAAAGAAGTCAGGAAAGGACCAGTTGGAAGATGGCATCATTAAACTCATAATTGATTAAATGGATTCGTCAAACAGAAAACCTACCTAGCAGGCCATTTCGATCTGTAATCCGACAACAAGACAATACTGTGCTCTGTAAGACTCATTCCGTATTCTAAACAACGCTTTGTACCGGAAATTCGAATCGGATGATGGAAAAATATTCCGATGGCAGATGGTACTTCCAAGATCTCGAACGTTCTTAAAGAACTACATAGCAGCCTTATAGGAGGCCACTTCGGAATAATGAAGATTTTGCAGAGAATTCGAGAGCGCTTCTGTTGAAGTAATGCAAAGGATGATTTGCAAAAGTGCCAATCTTGCGATACCTGTGCATGTGGAAAAGGACTGAGGGAAGCTGCAATGTCTAATTGCCTTTGATATACTGGGACCTCTATCACAAACTGCTGATGGTAACAAATACATCCTCGTTGTCATTGATTACTTCACCAAGTGGACTGAAGCATATCCTACTCCTGATCAAGAGGTTGTCACAGTAGCGGAAGTAATGGTGTTTTCCAGGAAGCAACAGGACTGGGACAAGAAGATGCCTCTATTTTTACTGGCTTATCGCAATGCTATCCACGAGGCTACCGCTTATTCCGCATCTCAGATGCTCTTCGGTCAACAATGATGTTAACACATTGTACGTCGGTGGCATCTGAGAGAACTAAAGTCTGAGCGTCGGCACCGTGTTAACCGCCTAAAGCGTGGGCGCCGTCATGATTCGTTTGTTGACATGACAACCATGAATAGGTGAAGAAAATATTTAAAATTTTATACATTATCGTCAAACATTAAATTTGGTTTGCATATTCGTTATATGCAATTTAACAATAACGAAAAGTAAAAGCAAAATAAAAAATTTAACTTATAATTATAAAAAAATGCACCTGTTTTATTTGATGATTGATTATTACATATATATATATATATAATATAAACAGAAAGAAAAATATTAATATTTAAATTTATGTAATAAATAACTTAGCATCGGCTGAATCTTCTCGAGCTTATTAGAAACAGCTGTTGTACGATTATTTTAAAAATGCTATGTGCCCCAAATCTGGCGAAATCTGTTACGCGATATTACCGTGGAGAAAGATGGTGTTTTGGTATAAAACTCTGAGGACCAGTAATCATCCTTTTGATCATTCTTTACTTGGCCCATCAATATAAGCAAATCAACAAATTTCTTCATGTCGGCTAGAGAAAAATCATTCCACTTAGGCATTTTTTTACCTTTACACATCTTGTCCTTATTTTGGTGATAATAGATGGTTGATTCATTTACCATCAATTGAAATAAATTATTGCCAATAAACATTTCGACGATTTCGTTTATGCTTTTCTTATTAGCAGGAAGAATCTTTGGACCAGATTGCGCAATAAAATCTGGTACATTGGGAGCTTTATTAACATCTGACCATGATTTAATGTAACTATGTGATTCTGTGAACATTTCACTATCACTTAGATCATCAGAATCATTGGAATACTGTAATGGAATGAACTTCTTCACTATCACTGTCCTCCACCCCTATATCAGTCTGATTGTATTGAATAATTTGATAGAGGATCAGCAATATAGTCAGTAACTTCACTCATATTATAGGGATAAAAATGCACAGAATAAGATTATTCTTATTATGCTGTTCAACTAAAAGCGTAAGGCTATGAAGGATGTACTGGCTACGGATTACGACACTCAAGAGTGACTCTTGTTTGTACTTGTTCCTGACCCATCGTATAAATTTTGTTTCGACGTAATAAAAAGTGCAGATCGGCGAGTCATGACGAGAGCAAACTAATCGCCAAATAAAAGAATGTTGCATTATCGCAGGTCGAACGCTGAAACGAAAACCTCGAAACCCACGTTTTCGCGGTGAAGGCGTACAATGTGTTAACAATGGTGCCATCATTTTGTCCCCATTTAACAGCTTGTCGGAACCAATTTATTATTTACCTGTCGGTGCTTCATTTTTACACTATGTAAAGTTGTTTCTTACAGATGAAATTTGTGAATTAATTCTCATACAAATAAATATGCTTAATTTTGTGCAAGAAAGCGTGGCGATGTTTGATCGTTACTGGGAAAATTTTATTTGTAAAGGAAATACGGGCATTGGTTACAGTTCATCGTATAATGATTATTGTAGCACATTACCAAGAGAGCAGAAAAAGATTTTTACAAATGATGCATTTTTTTTCATTGGGGGGGGGGCGCTTCAAATAGGGAAACGTTAAAAATTGTGAAGATAACTTTGCAATTGCACAAAAATTACAGCCTGTCATTTCATATTTACGAAACAAATTTCAGCAACATTTTACGCCTTATGCTGAAGTATAAAATGACGAAACGCTAATTAAATTTAAAGGTAGATTATGAATTGTGCAATGTATGGCTATGAAACCAGCTATGCATAGATTAAAAATATGGATGCTCTTTATACCTCATTTAGGATATACTTAAACAACTTTTGAACTTTATTGTGATAAAACCTTTCCTGACCTTGGTATCTTTTTTTTTTTTTTTTTTTTTTTTTTTTTTTTTTTTTAAGGTTATGATGTAGTTATGTATATTGCGCTTAATAAAACCACTTGCAAAATAAAGACCATGAAATCTATTTTGACAGATGTTTCGACAGCGTAGATTTGTTGTCTGAGTTATACAAATCTGGGCAATCATCATATGTAACTGTGATGACAAATCGGAAAAACATGCCTGAGGGCATCAAGTAAATGAAATCAACACGACAGCGTAGTTATACAATGAAAAAGTCTGCCGAATTTACTTTCTTCATCTTCGCTTGATAAAAACATTCATACGTATGATTTCCACAAACTGTATAAATAAACCATGTTCTACTACAAGAAGAAAATGTTTCTGAAAAGATATAATACCATGCCTACCCACATTTGTAAAGTATAATAAGAATATGGGAGGTGTAGATACAGCAGATCAACGTCAAAAATATTACTCAATTTCTAGAAAATCCTCGAAGTAGTGGATGTACATATCTTGGTTCCTTTTAGACAAGTAGTGAATAACGCCTTTATAGTTCATAGAGGCACTGATTATTCAGTTCTAAAGCGACCAAAGCAGCTATACGACTTCAAATTAGAATTGACTGAAGAATTCTCAACGTAAAATTCTTTTCGAAAACGAAGCCCAGGCATATTTTCGTCTAGTGCATTTCATAATTACAAAAGTGGAAAAATTAATGGTCGTAGACGGACTTGTGTTCGATGCAAAGAAGTAGGAAAAAAGGCAAACTCCGAGGCATATACTGAAAGTTCTTGGGAGTGTGACATATGTAGGATGTGACTGTACAAATTATACTTTTAGGCTTCGAATTTCAGTTACTGAAATGCAAATAAAAGGCGCTTTTCAGGGCCATACAATTTCAAAAAAGAGAAAACTTTTTTGCATCATCACGAAAATGTGTATAAATTTGCAATGAAGACTAATATGCATATATATGGATACATTTGTGCATGCGTATATATGTTCCTGTAAGCATGTAATATATAAAAATTTATATTTAAGATCGATAATGTATATACATTCTAATACATCTACCTACAAATTTATTTAAATGATAATATGCGTAAATAATAATGTACATATATAAACTAAATAAATGAAAAAACAATGACATTAATAAATGTGCATATCACTTTGAAACTCGTACAATAAATGAAGTAATACAAAAATACTATAAATTAAGGTTTAATCCTGACAAAGATGGGATCAACAAATGCAAACGCCTCCATTATTTATGGAAAAGGAAAAACTAACGCATCACTATATCTAAAAAAATAGCAACTTAACGGGCAAGTAAAGAAAGTACATGAAGTAAAATCTTAATCCCCCATTCAATAAATAAAAAAAAATTCCTGTAAAAATGAAAATTTTTAAAAAGAAAATTATTTATTTATATTACATTCATCACGGGGTGCTAGGGTAGGCTATTGTATATGGTAAAGCACAAGAGGGATCTGCTTGAGGGTTGGCAAAGGCGTGGAAGTGATTTTCCCAATGGAAACTGGCTCGTATTTACCTTACACGTGACAATAATAATATATGTATTTTGTTTAGCGGGGTGCATTTTTATATCCTTTATAAAAACCTGGAAATACTTGCATACTTAACAGAATTTTGATAAAATGTCTACGGTTTGAAAAGGAGCTGTTTTATCATGAATTTTCAATCAGCAAAAAAATTGCTGTTTAAAAATTTAAGGATTATATTTATTTTTAATCAACTTACTCCTTTGTATGAAAATAACTTAAATAGACAAAATCTTAGTTGGGATCATAAAGCCAGAGAGGCTTGTTGGCCTGATCATCAGAATAGGTTTATAAAGAATGGGCTAAGGGCTAATGGAAGCTTCTTTGTTAGCAAATATAAAGGATGTCATTTGAAATCTTCACATCTCTTTGTGTTATTGGACGGGGAGGAGAAGAAATTGCTGTGACTTCGAAAGAAATTTTGGGCGTTTCGGTATTTTAAGCATACGGGTTAACGAAGGCTGCAGTTTTCTAAGGATTAAGGCAGAAAATGCACTACTGCAGAGGGTAACAGAGAAGATATTTCAGTGCATCATAGCACTTCATTCAATAAACATGTTTTCTCGGTGAGAGCATAGACGTCAACACAATGCAATCACCCTTCTTGTGGCTTACACATTCTCGAAGGTCGAACGTAACATGTTACCAGGAATCCTCAGCACAACCCATGATATATTGTCTTTTAAGGTCGCGACCTTACCAAAAGAGACCTTTAACTTCAAATAATCCCACAGGAAAAAGTTACATGGGATTAGATGTAGGGAGCAAGGTGGCCATGCCAGTGGAAAAAAGTGACTTATACCTTTTTTTTCTGTAAAGCGATGGTGCAACAGATGCTGTACCGATAGACAAATATGCGGTAGTGCTCTAAACTGCAAAAACATTTACTATAGCAACTGTGTGTGCTGAAGTTGTGAAGTGACAAAACTGTACCTTTGCGTGGTAATTCAACAAGAGTGTGTTCTGTTAAAGTAATGTTAAAAAAAAAAAAAAAAAAAAAGGTCTGCTGATGAAATCTGCTGTGAAGTCACACCAAATAGTGATTTTTGGTGAATGCCGTGGGATCTCCTGCACTGCATGGATGTTCTGATGCTCAAATTCAAGAATATATTCGTTAATAGTCCCATTCAGGTGAAATTGGGCCCCCATCTTTTTACAGGGTTCTCCACGGCCACAAATCACAAGGAAGAGTGCATGAAACATTATTATGCAACAATAGAACGCAGACAATAGATATAACTACTACTCGGATGATCAGTCGCAAAAATGGTCCTATAATTTTAAATGAAGCCTCAAAATGATAGAATTTAAATATCTTAAAAATCAGTTTGCTACTTAAATAAGTGATAAAGTTGGTACTAAGTGTCGTAAATTCTTATATAATTATTCCTGTTTAACAACTGGTTCGCCGACCCAATAATATTTGAGCAAATACTATGAGCTGACTGAATCTTACCGCTGCAGATCTCCCTACCCCCCCACACACAAAAAAAAAGGGGGGGATGGCGAGAAGGAAAGTATTATTACAACTATTTTCCTTTTGGATTCATTCTTAAGTCATAAAATCAATTCGAAGTAATAATTTTTTTTAATATCTTCCTGTATGAAATTTACAGGACTTCATCTTTTCAATTTACGAGGGCTAATTGTTTAACATTTTTTATCTAAGCCTTTCAAATCAATAGCTGTTATAAGTCGATGCATTTACTAAACATTATGAAAATCATAAGAACGTAATGAGCTTAATCCATCGTAAACACAATAAACGATAAAGCGCGTTGGAGGTAAAAGAAAATTGAAAACACAGGATAAATCTTAAAGGATCGCCTGAATTTTACTATGCCATTATACTGTAACAGAGGGGAGTAGGTGAGGAAACATAGTTAATAGAAAGACAAATGCTCTGAATTTAATTTAATTACGGATTTCTGATATTTTTACAAGCTATGGAATCATTGATGTTTTTAAGTAATAAGACCCGATAAACAGGAAGAAATTAACATTTTGTTATTGAAAAACTAAATAATTAATGCGCACAGCACTATAATAGCTGGAAATAATTCAAGGAGAATGTGGATATTAATCAATTCCTCCTTAACAATTTCATTGTTGCATCTCATAAAACAGCACATGTTTATTCCCGTGTTCCATTTCAGCGCACACGTCCCATGTTTCTGCTGCTCCTGAGTAATAGCCATGGCCACTCAGGAAATCTTCAAGTACAAATGTCATTTTTTATAAATGATAAAAAGTGTGGTTATTTTGTGTATAAAAAGTTTATAAGTGTAGTTAGTATTTGACATAACTATTTATTCCAAAGCTAAAAATTAGAATTCAAGCTAAGATGTCATATTAGTTCCTCAAAATCAGTACAGTGTTACGACCTCAATCGCATTGGAATTTCCGTAAAGAAATGTTCCTCTCATTAAAGCATTGTCCTGTTAATTTGGAATTTTGCCTTAAACTGTGTACTAAAGTAATTTTCCCCGTTTAATAAAGCAGAACTTTTCGTTGTTGTAGACTGTGAAGCAAAGTAAACACAGTCTGTTAATAAACGGTAATCAGAAAAAGTTGTTAAAGCAAAAAATGTTGCAGGATTTTAATGATGATAATTTGAAAATTAAGGAGAATATTGGAGTAACTTTAAATAAGCTAGGTTAAAACTATTCGCAAGTAATACATATTAATCTATTTATATTTCTGAATATCACATTTTATTTATGCTAAAGATTAAAATGTTAAATTTTAATTTATTTATTCACTTTTAATCCCGAGGTACTTACATGCTGCAGAATACGCAGAAAAAACTTCCTTTCTGCAATTACTGTGGTTCCTTTCTGGATTACTGTTGACTGTGTAACAGTCCACCAAGAATCTGTTATCCTTTAAGTCGTCGCATGTTTCATTATCTAACGAGTTGCAAACGTGGCATTTTAGAGCAGAACCTGATTTAAAACAGGAAAAAAAGAAAAAAAAAAAACTTTCTAAAGACATGGGAAATACAAGCAAGATAACAACTGGTAATGTAATTACTACGAATAATACATGAATTATATGTTTTAAAAAAAATGGAAGAGAGTTCATCAGATCTACTTTATTGCATTTTTAGTTACATTTTATTGCGGAATTTCATCTAGTGCATTTGCAAAATTAAAACTGTTAATTGCAATATTTATATTTAAATTTTTAAAGTATTAATGTTTTTAAATCGTGCATAAATTAGAAATCTGGAAACTGCTTGATATGAAAACAAAATAGTTTTAAGGTTGAAAGCATAGTGCCTAAAACATCTTCGTCGTAACAGTAAACATACCTCAGGCTTTATATTATAAAAATATTATAAAATTAAGGAAAGTGGATTCGTTTGCATTTTTAAAACAATATATTTACTAAGCAAGGCACCCTTCCTGAGCTCTGATTTATTACTAAGTCGACGCAAACACTATAATAGGCATATAGAGCTGAGAGAATTTTTATTTGTCCCAATATTCAGCTCAATGATTTTACGCGCACGCAGCATAATAGTGTCTTCGGTCCAAAAAAAAAAAAATTTTTTTTAACATTTTGTTATCAATTCGCGCTATTGTTAGCAATATCACAGTGACGTCGCATTGTTTTGATACCTATATAATTACTTAACTTACTGAAGACTAGTGCTATCTTATAATAACATCTATATGGGAGTTAAGATCATCATCTTATACTAACTTTCTATATAGGAATTAAGATCATCATCTTATACTAACTTTCTATATGGGAATTAAGATATTCCTGATGAATTTTGGAACTGTGATTAAACGATGTTCACTATTTTTATTGGTAATACGGAATTTTGGCTTTCTGTACTTTAAGCTCAAAAGCTTATCACTTTTACTACAGAATGATCATTATTTATTGATATAGCTGCGAATATAATTAAAGTATAACTTACAAAGCATGTCAGAATGTGTTTTTTCAAATATAAAAAATAATGGAATTGCAAATAATTCTGAAAATTTTCACAAATTTAGGATATATCTTCCACTTGGTGCGAACAAATATCACCAACTATGTCCATATTTATATTTAAATGTTATATTGAAAGCAAATTTTTGTTCCACTAAAGTAAAATATCATGTTTCACTAATTATTTCCTTCGTAACTGTTTAATATTTCGCGCAAAGTCTCTAATCTCGCCTCCACTGCTGAAGATTAACCAGAAAATGCGTTAAGGCTTCACGGTCTAAGATTCTTTATACCCGTAGACAAAAAAAAAAAAAAAAAAAAAAAAAGTCCTGAAAATGGGAAACATCGCGTAGTTTTACGTAAATATCTTCAGAAGTACAGTTATTTCGATAAAAAGGGTGGAGAGCGCCCTTTTTAATAATTATTAATAATTTCCTCTTTTTTTTAATGATTACCATTCATAAGATAAATACTGTTTACTTATGTTAAGATGATCCCTGCATTGCTTCTGAGCATGAACGAAAAAAAAATTCAATCCATTTGGAGAAAAGAGTAGAAGTTTTGCCGAAACTCGTCGATTTATTTTATGTTTTGGTAAGATCTTACAGCAATCTTATGTTTTTTAAATATTATATGCCCCACGGGGAACCAAAAAGCGTCCCAGAGAAAGGAAAAAAAGTTGAAAAAGTGTTGAAAGTTTCCAGTAAATAATAAAGAAATAATGTCAGTGTTCACATGGGAAGAGAAATCTTAGAAACTCTTATTTTCTCCTCTAAAATTTTAATCGAACTATCCTGGCATGCTTTCAGGAAGACGTTTAGAATTGGTGCGTGGCGTAGCCATTCAACCATTAGAGGAAAATATTTATGCCAAAATGCCTCGCTTAAACTTTAAGATTTAATTGCATTCTCGAAGAAATAGAACAAAATTGCATTTAATTTTTTAACCAATGCCATCTCGAAACGACATATTTCGTAGGTTCACTATAAATGTCCGTTTCACTTTTTAGATTGTTGCCACCAAATATTACGCCCTGTCTTATATTTAAGGAAATTAAATAATGAAGAATCTACATGAATGTATGTATGTTTCTCGCATTGTGCAAAAACAACGGTACCTAGAGCTTTCAAATTTTGAATAACGTAGTCCTCCACCCGAAAATAGGCACCTGGAAACCCTAATTTGGAATTTCGAATAAATGAAAAAATCGCCCCTTTGGGACGTATTGTAAAATATGAAATATTTCAGTTTTTTTAATAAGTTTTTTTTTAATAACAGGAATTGGTGATGCAGTTTCACAACCATTATGAAGACAACTTATTCTTAATTTTTATTATTTTTCAGTTAATTCTACATTTATGCTGTTTCTGAGTTGTCTCAGTCGACTGCTGTCCTCACATTACCGAGGAGGTTTTAATTTTGGAATGACTGCTATTCGTATATGTTATTCTAAGATTCGCAATTAAAACGTCTTATAGCGATTTCATTTCTCATCTGGATTTTGTTCTGTTAAAGTTTTCGGGTTAAAAACAGAGCGCGAAAATAAAGAGTTACGAAAGAAATTCTTGATAGATGATGGTGATATATTTAATCGCAAATTTATCTTTGTATATGGCTGTAAATATGAAAGTTTATGACACAAGGTGTGATTGGTTGAAATCCGATAGTTAATGGTTCACATCGAAGACACATGGTTCCATCGTGATTGCATCTACATTTAAAAAGTCCTATGAACTTTTATTTTATTGAAATTAATGATATATCGCCTGCATTCAGTCCAGGTTTGAAATTAATACAATTTTTTACATAAATTTAAATGTACACTTTATGAAAAAAAAAAACAATACCTAAGAATTTAAGAAAGTTTTTAGACCTAATTTCTCTTTTGGAAAGTAAATATGTAGCTCATATTTATGCTCTAAATAAGAAGAAAAACCTGCCAAAATGAAACATAAAATTAGCAGAGCAACAACCTTGTATTTGACACAGATTTAGTCAATAATTCAAATTGACTAAATCTACGCCAAACACAATTTTGCTGCTTTGCTAACTTGAATTTTATGCTATTACGTAGTGAAAACACGAATAGCAATAGTGATTTTAATATCACAAATATGAACTCGCTCAAATTTTGATGAAAGATAATTAAAATCGGCCAAATCGATTGTCTGTTATATAGATGTATATAAAGTTTTTTATATGCAGAAAAGTTTTTTTAAGCATAAAATAGCTTTTAACGTATGGAGCATCATGAGCTATATAATTAAATATTTATATTTTATTTAAATATAGCAGAATTGATTAATTTTTTATCATTATTTTATATAGGTGAAAAGTACTTTAATCAAACCGTATCTTACAAATAAAATATTGATAATGTTAGATGCTGAGAAGTGAAATAATGGAATGTGCAGCGCAATTTTCAGATTATTGATTATGAAGTATTTATATAATATGAAGTATTATACATAGTTCTACATAAGGTCATACTTTCAGTCCAACTTTAGAGGTAACATATCTCATTACAAATAATTAGAGATAATTACATTCGGAATCTCCGAGATCGTAATATGCATGTTTTTACTAAAATACTTAATTATTCTATAATATAGAACGTTCAAGCTAAAAGTGAACAGTAGAGACAGTATGTGTGTGTGTTACCGCTAAAGTGCGAAAGTCGTTAATGTGCACATTATCTAGCTTCTCTGCAGATAAACTGATTTGCTCCGTTAAAGTGCAGAATCAAGAGTTTTCCACATTTTACCTAAGTAATGTGCACATTAACAGCTTCTGTATTATTCAAATTCAAAAGTTTGTGTGTGTGTCTCTCTCCAATTTGCACATTAACTACTAGGACTCGCTAATCTGCATATTGGGTACTAGGCGCTCGTTAAACTGAAAATAAGATCTTTGTTGGCACAACAGCAACGTTTCTGGTCGCTTAAATTAACATAGTGTTATTTATTTATTTTTCGATACCTGAAAAACCAAGTTAATACAATCAAACAATCAACAAATTAGTTGATAGAATCAATCATCAATCAGTTAAAAAACTATAATGCAAAGAATAAAACGGTTTACAATATTATTAAAATTAAGGAAATGAATTTAAAAAACATATGTTAAAATTATGTTCACGTATTAGTCAATCTAAAGCTTGGGAACACGTTTAATTATATAGCAGCTGGATTTTGCTACAAGCACACCTATTTGTTGTACATTTAGATTTGCAGCATTACATTTTCTGGCACCCGGCTCGGTAAACAATTTAAAAGTGTAAGTGGCGGCAGCGGTATAGAAACGTTGCTGTTTTTTCAACAAAGATCTTATTTTAATTTTAACGACTGCATAGTAGGAAATGTGCAGATTACCTAGGTAATTTGAGAAATGAAACAATTTTCCGCACTTTAGCGGATCACCCTAGTTAATCTACTGATTAGCTAGATAATGTGCAGAATAACTGATTTCCGCTCTATGTGTGTGTGTAGAGAGAAAGAGAGAGAGAGATTTATAAGAAAAAGAGAGAAAAAAATTAGCTAGAGCCGTAAAGAACATTTGAACTTCCTAATTCCTGATATTACATTTAAAACAAAGTCAAAACGACAAAATCTAAGTTAAAGCAACAAATTGTACGCGAAATAATCTACTTATTATACAAAAAATTTAGAATACCTATACAACAAAATCAAAGTTGGTACGTGGAAAAAAAACTAAAAAATTTACATAATACTGAGAAAATGTACATATAAAAACACGTTCAATCTTCTCTGTTCAAGGCTTCAAACAGAACATATCAAAGCAAAATTGCTTGAAGCCCTCAACCAAGTTGATGACCCACAAAAACAAACAAGCACGTTTCGTCGAACAATTATACTGAGAATGAAAGCGGCTTTTCTAGCTATTAATTTTTTATTCATCTATTACTAACGATGTCGCAAACCTAATAAACAAGCACGTTTCGTCGAACAAATATATTGAGACTGAAAACAGTTACTAACGA